CCCGCACATCCCCCAACCCCAAATATAATCCACTCTGCAACCCTCATTCCGTACTCTTATGATAAACATAATGCCCTAAAATATAATACTTTTAAACTAAAACAGAAAAAGTGAAAAGTTTTTAAATAGAAAAGTGGTGTTTTTTTTTGTTTGTTTGTTTTTTTTTTAAAATAGAGTATCCTGAGGTGAGGGAGTCAACTAACTAGAAGGGAGCATTCCAAAAACCACAGTAGTTCTCAAAAAGTTTTTCTGCTGTTGATGGCATTTTATATCTTCATCAGTTAGACTTTTCAATTAAAAAAAAACAAACAAAAAACACAGTAACTTTACCCCCAAAGTGACAGACTATCTCAGACTGTCTTTTGTTGGCAAAAGATAACTAATCTTTTTAGATAAGCATATCATCCAGATCACATATTATTACAGGATTTATCCCCCCCTTTCTTTTGACACCAGAAATGGCATGGCTTGAGAAATGGCTTGCTGTAAAATTTGTGTTTACATTGGGGAGGGTGCAGGGGGCGAAAAAAACCCATGCAGAAGTTGAAAAGATGTTAAGTGGTAAATACCAAAATGCCCAGCAAGCATATATAAGCAAGCTCTCATCCTGGCATGAATATGTGCAGCTCAGCGTTTTAAAATTTACTTTTAGCTTTTTTAGCAGTCTGAATTAACCCCTTCATATGCCTTCACTCCCTCTGTGGAAGTTCTGCCCTTGAGGACAAATGCGAGGGAGGTTAGGAGAGCTATTTTAGGGCTTTGCGATTTATAAGCAGATAATCCCCTTCCACATAACTGGGCTCCCATGGGTGGGCCACCTTGTAAACAAAGGCCTGCTCAACTTTCTTAACAGCCATAAGTCACAGGGTAATGCCTAGACAACATAAAAGGTAAGGCCATCTTACTGTAGCTATACACAGAATTCGAAATCTTGGCAGGCTGAAACAATAAAGAAAAAACCAAAACAAAGCAAAGTGAGTGATACAAATAAAAACAACTATCCTGTGATTCTCAATCACTTCAGAGAGCAATGCTGTATTTCCCAAAACCTGTGTTTACTAATCTGTCGTGAACACTTTCGCATTTTTCACCCTATCTGTTGGAAGCCATCCTGAGCTCTCTTGGCTCTGGTACGAGCAACACTATTTTGCCCGTGGACTTCATTTCACATACCCACTGCAGACACGGAGAGGCCAAGCTCAGCATAAGGCAGCCCCGCCCATCCCTGGGAACTGCTTATCTAGATCAGTGTGATTCACTGCCTCTGGGCGAGCCCCTCCTACCTGCGGTAAACTGATATTTTGGGGCTGGGCTTCTGTAGTTTGCCTATAAATATCTGTGAAATTATTGAATAAACTTGAGGCTTGATCAGAGAACTTTGTCTGGCCTCCTCTCTCGTGCCCCTGCCCCTCCCCCCCTTTTAATCCGCACAGGTCCCACTCTAGAACACGCGTGAATCCACAGGCCGGTTTCAGTTGGCGGTTTCACATATCAAAGATTCTGCTTTGAGACATGGCTTGGCATCTTTCTCTCGCTCTCCCAACCTCATACATCTTCCTAAAGAGTCAAAGCTTCTTTTCAAATTTATAATCCCTGATAGGGACAGGATTTTCAGTAAGCAAGATAAATACGGACTTCCTTGTGTTTACTTTTAGTCTGCAGTGAGCAAGTGCACATGGGTATGAAAGGCATTAATGATCTACTGAGTCTCACAGGAGCAGTAGTGGTTAAGCACTTGATGGCTAACCAAAACGTTGAAGGTTCAAATTCACCAGCCACTTTGGGAGAAAGCTGTGGCAGTCCGCTTCCATGAAGACTGTTGTTTGTTGTTGCGTACTGTCAAGTCAGAACCGACTCATAAATGACCCCACGGGAGAAGATTGCCCTTCCTTTCCCTGTGAAGCAGCTAGTGGCCTTGAACCGTGTGCCTTCAGGATTTCAGTACATTTTCTCTTGCCACTAGGCCACAGCCTTGGAAAACCTATGAGGTAGCTTTAGTCTTTCCTAAAGGGTCCTATAGTGTAGCCAGAATGTGCTCTGTAGGCAAGTACGGCGATGCTTCCTCTCACATACTTTGGGCATGTTGCTAGGGGTGGTATTCCTTGGAAAGGGACACTATGTTTGGAAAGGTAGAAAGTCAACAAAAGAGAGGAAACCCATTAAGATGAACTGTCACAGTGACTGCAGGAATGGGCTCAAGCGTGTTGGGGACGGTGAGGATGGCACATGACAGGGTTCAGATCTGTTGTTTAGAGTGTCGCTATGAGTCATACTCAAATCATCAGCATCTAAAACAAGAACAACAGCACAGAATCATTCTGAGTCAGAACTGACTTGCCAACTTGGGCTTGGTTTAGTGAATCTCACAGCAACTTTATGAGGTAGCTTGCTAATCTCATGATAAATATGAAGAAAATAAGCCTCAGGAATGAAGATTTTGTCAGGTTACTCAAAGAGCAGAGTAGAATGGCTATGGGTTTGACAACTAAAGGTACAAAATTACCAATTAATTGCTAATTAAATGAACATGCAAATTAATTTCTTAAACAATCTTCATATCAGAAGAGATGGGAAATGTTTGGCCCAGAGGAGAATGGCCTAGAGATGGCCTCATGATGGCTGGTAGTACTGGGTTAGATTAATTTTATTACTTATAGTGATTTGTGTCTTTGATATGTTTCTAAACAATGCTCAATATCTTAACTGCTATCAAATATGAGCTCCTGGGGGCTAAAATTCATATAAAAATGCTGCAAAATTGTACACTTAGGTCCTAAAACCAGTGCTGTCAGGTAAAGTCTTCGTTTACTTCATTCCACAATTTCTAACACTTAGGGCTCAAGAGAAGAATCTGGGGACAGAGGAGAGAGCCAAGAAAATAAAATAATTAGCAAGAGAATAAAACAGTTAAACAATTATTTCAAGAATATCAATATTAAAAGAAAACCATCTCTCTCTCTATTGGAAGGTATTATTTAGTTGTTTTTTGCCCTTGAATCAGAACCAGATTATTAACTATCCTCCAGCAAATATTTAGAGGCAACAAGTTGCATGGGAAGAAACTGTCCATTTTTTTTCCCAAGGAGCAGCTGGTGGATTAGAACTGTACATCTTTGGTTTAGATGGCCTGATTCCTATCCACCAGGCCACCAGCACTAGGTAGGACACTGGTTGTAAAACTGAACAAAAATGAGTCCTGGTTCAGCTTCTTAACTGCGACTTTATTTTAGTTTTTCTGTCAGAGCCCCTGTCTAAGAGCAGCAGAGACCTCAGAATCATTGTAACGGCAAAATTCAATCCCATCTTGCTTTGTGTGTGTGTTAAGTGTGTGTGTGTTTACCTTGTTCATTCATTCTGAGAGATGGTGTTAGCATAACTTAGAGGTAGATTCAATCCAACAACTGGCCCTACAATGCTCAGCCATGACGTGATGTAGTTGACGTTCCTAGAAAACACGTGAAAAGACATGCTACTAGCACATCCACTGTAGGTTTGGGGAACAACAGAAAATCATTCACTCACCAGCAATACCAATGAGGCTTAATTCAACAATGTCTGCCCACCAACAGACATCACAGCATTTTCAAACATTACTTCCATTACTTGGCCAGCATGTGACATCAGAAGAAATTACGAGAATCCCTCATAATAATAACTCATGTAGTTGAAGAGTTGGACAAAGTATTGGGACTCTGGTCTCCCCTGTGATGATCCAAATTTGACATTTAAAACTCACAGCAGTTACTACGGGATAGAATGCAGTGGTTAAGAGCACAGCTATGAAGCAAAAATACCTGCTTTCACCTCCTCGCTTTACCACTTAACCACCTGATGGCCTCGGTCAAATGACTGACCCCTCTGTGCTTTTAGCGCCTCATGCGTAAACCAAGTAAAATAGCAGTACGAAACTCATAGTGTTGCTGGAAAAATCGGATGAGCCAATATATTGAAAACATTTAGAGCGATGCCTAACACTTGGTAAAAATCAATAGCTGTTAGCCATTATTATGATTACAGAGAATATTTCTTTTTAGCTTGGCTTTAAGAGTCACACTAAAAGATTTACACTTTTAAAATAGGAATATAAACCCATGTGTCTTGACAGTGTTTCTTACCTATTGATTTTCTGGGAATTCTTTAATACAGGAATCATAAATTCATTCGTCTTGCAGGGATGAAGTACAAAAAAGGGTTGCCCAAGGATTGGATGTTCCTGAAAGAATAAACGTTAATATAGGATTGCCAGGGTGAGCTACTCTGGGAATGTTAGAGCAATCTGTCTTAATCCTTTAAAAGAAAAGTTTCTTTTAAGTTATAAGTTATCAAATGAAGACTTGGGTTGATATTCTTTTTGAAATGGATATGAATGCTTAAATATGAAAAGCTGGTGAGAAGTAAGCATACAGTTCTGTTTACACAATACACACTGCAGAGGAATTTTATCAGTCCTTCGAACTCTTTGTAAGTCAAAGCTTCTCTTTACAATTATTCTTTTCCTTTCCTCAAGGTTGGCCATGATAGCCTGACTTTCTGAACAAAGCATTTCATTCACTGTGTCACCAGTGTCAGTGGACTGTGATCATTTACACATTTTCCCACATAAATTTTGTCATGTTCCTTGCTTCGAGCCTAACTATTGTTTACCGAGTAGCACGGGGGATGAAATGACCTGCATAGTTTAAACTGTTCTACTTCTGCCTGCCTGTTTGTTTCTCTTTGAGTTTTTTGGTTTCTCTTCTGTTTTTCTCTGCTAGAACAAAAAACAGGTTCATCCTCAAGAAGATGACACCAGGCAGCTCCTTGGAGGCAAGGACTTTGAAGCTCCATCTGACATACTTTGGGTATGTTGCAAGGAGGGACCAGTCGTTGGAAGGGACATCATGCTTGGGAGGGTGGAGGGACAGAGAAAGAGTGAAAGATCTTCAATGAGAGGGATTGACTCAGTGACTAGGGTAATGGAGGTAGATGTGTCAGAGACAATAAGATTGGTACAGGATAGAGCAGGGTTTAGGGCTGTTGTAGATAGGGTCTCTATGCGTCGCAAGCAACTTGATGGCACGTAACAACAAAATAAGGCTGAGTTCCTATAAAGGATTACTGTCTTTATAAGAGAATTATTAGATATAAGGAAGAAACCAGATTGCTGTCAGGGTAGTAGGAATGTGGACCTTATTCAGCAAGCCTTAAGGAGCGCTGGTGGTGCAGTGGCTAAAGTATCTGGCTACTAACCAAAAGGACTGCGAAGCCACTGAGTTGCTGTGTGTCAGAAATGACTCGTAAGAGATCCCCTATGCCCCCGGGAAGGTAGAGTAGAGGTTGAAGTTTCCATAAATGCACGTGATTTAAGTATAAGTTCTAATAACATAAAAATAATTATTGATGATACATTTCTAGGTTGTTTATATTATATATCAGTGTAGATTTAATTTAATAACAATAATCTGTGAGTAAATACATAGACATGCAAGCTGACCAAGAGTGGAAAGTAAACAAGACTATATCAACAAACAGGCCTGACAAAGTTCTTTCTGTATAGACAATTATATATGCTGTAAATACATCCAGGAATGCAGCAGAGCATATGGAGTGCAAAGCTATGAAAACATCCACAGCCAAACACTTTGAGGAATGGGCTGCTGGGCATAGAGATGTCAGGATCGTAGTCTCAGGGACATCCCTCAAAGTCAATAGTCAAAACAGAATTCACAAAGGCAATGCTCCGTATCCCATTTTCATAAGTAACAGAGACACGAAAGCTTGCAAGCAGCCAACTAAGGTGCAACTACTGTTCTCTCCCTGTCAGCAAAGAGCAAAGCAGAAAGAAAAAAACAAACCAAGAAACAATTAGTCCAAAGGACAAATGAACTACATGCAACTCAGTCTCAATGAGCCCAAGACAAAAAGAACTATCTACTGACTGGAAAGGAATCAAAATAGGAGGTCCTTGGTAAAACAGGAGGTGTGGGGGTGAAGGGTGGGGAATGCGGTCAAGACATCAGCCCCAATAGTTTGTTTTGCAACAGTACTTTGTTGTTTCATTCATCTCCCCCAAATTCTCTCCAACTCATTACAAAGCAGACTGTAAAGATGTCCATGGAGTTGCTGAGGCTGTCCATCTTTAAGGGAGGAGTGTGGCTGTCATCCTTCTCCAGAAGAGGGCAGAGGGAACCAAATTGCGGACTTTTTGGTTGGCAGCCCCACATTTAACATTTAACTCTACTAGAGCCCCTGTAGAATCTGGTAGCATAGTAAAAACATCAGTGTTCAGTGATGCAATGTTTAAGAACATCTGACAACTAGTTATGGCCAAAGGGAAGACAAATTTGAGTTAGTAAAAGCAAAGATGATTGATAGAAGAGGAACTGATGCCTTGAGCTGTGGTGCTGGAGAAGAGTACTGAATACACCACGGACTGCTAGGGCAACAAACAGGTTCATCCGGGAGAGGGTGAAACTAGGCTGCTCCTTGAAGGCAAGGATTCTGAAACGTTATCTAACATACTTTGGACATGTTGCAAGGAGGGACCAGTCCTTGGAGAGGGACGTCATGCTTGGGAGGGAAAAGGGACAGCACAAGTGTGGAAGACCCTGGATGATGGATTGACTCAATGACAAGGGTAACAGGGGTAGGTGTGTCAGAGACAATGAGGTAAGCTCAAGATAGGGCAGCGTTCAGAGCTGTTGTGCTTATGTCTCTAGAGGTACAATAACGAGTCACTTGATGGTACATAACAACAACAACAAAAGCAAAACCCAAAGTCAACTGGCATCAAGTTGATTTTGACTAATAGTGACCTACAAGTTTCTAAGACTAAATTTTAATGGGAATAGAGCCTCCTTCTTTGTACTTGGAACTGCAGGTAGATTCAAATTGCTAGAGGTACGTAGGCCTTTGAGTTAGAGATATAGTATATTACAGACTCTGTCATCTCCTTGAACTTAGTAAAAGGTCTGGGTACATATGATGATGAGAAACATCAATATATGACACCCAAACCAAATCTGCTGTCACGGGTGGATTCCACATTATAGCAACTTTGATCAGGTTTCCAAGGCTGTAAATCTTTACAGGAAACGATTTCCTGTCTTTCTCACACAGAGCAGCTGCTGTACTGAAATAACTGACCGTTCCATTAGCAGGCTGACACATTAGACACTATGCCACCACAGTCCCTTAGATTAATACTCAGGTCAAATCAATGGAAAGAATTTAAATTAAAATAAAAGCTCATCCACTTCAAAAACACTTCATCCATCAATCATATGTCAATATTCATTTTCCTCAAAGAGCATAAAAAGAGTAACAATAGCATTTACAGTTAAATTCTCATGAAACACAGGCAGTCTCTCGATTATGAACAGGTTCTGTGCCTAAATCTGACTTTAAGTTGAATTTGTATGTGTAGTTTGGGACAGTTGAGTTGATATGAAATATTAGTCAACCGTTTGTCTTAGTGTCTTGTTGTTTACCGTTGAGTCAGAACCGACCCATAACTGACCTTTCAGTGGGTTTTCAAGAGGCAGTAATCACAGGGAAGAAGATTGCCCATCTTTCTCCCATGGAGAAGCTGGTGGATTTGCACTGCATGCCTTTGGGATTGCCACACAGCTTCTTTCCTCTAGGCCACCAGAGCTCCTTTCCATACAAGTAATAAAATGAAAAAGATACTTACACTAAAGCATTGTTAACAAAATAATACAATTGTAATAGTAATAATAGTTAGCAAAAAAGGAAGACCCTCAATGAGATGGATTAACACAGTGACTGAAACAATGAGCTTGAACATGGTAGAAAGCACGAGGATGACAACAAAGAACAGGCCACAGTTCCCATCTGTTATTTACAGGGTCATTTTGAGTCACAGTAGACTTGAGGGCACCTAACAACAACACCATCACCACAAAACCAACAACAGTGACTTAATATGAGTCACAGAGTGGTGCCTACTTGCTATTAACTATTGTATAGACCTCAGATTTTTAATATAATAGGCTTTACAAGGGTCAGTATGGTAACTGTGGGATGCACATAAGTCAGATCTCATCTGGGGATTACCTGTAAAACAAAATGATTGAGACCGATTGTGTGAAAACCTTTTAATAACAATGGAGACTTTCATATCCTAGATAGTTTTCAGAACAGTTTGGTATTTCTTTACTGTGGGTTTGATGTTCTGAAAAGAAAAAAAAAATCCCCAAACTAAAAATTACTTATTCTTTAATATATTAAGAATTTCTGTCTATGTCATTACACAGAGTACATTAAAATAAATTCCTGTCTTTAAAAAGAAGAAGTTTAAATTTAAATTAGATTTTCAAAATGAGTTTAAAAAGAAAAATTATATTGTTTTGGTAAGATGTTCTCATTTTAAGAAAAAATTAAGTTATGTTGATCAGCTCAAAATAGGAATTATAATAGGCACATTTACATAGTCTTTTAAGAAAAGTTCCATAAATAAGTAATAATGGAGGATGAGACTTCTGGCGGTGGCAGAATAAAGAAACTAGAAACCAAGAATAAGACTGAAGAATCATGGATTTTTAAAAAAAGAAAATTTCAAAGCTCTGGAAATCAACCAAAGACAAATGAAAATTTTGGTAAGTATTTAATTCATGAAAAGCTGTTAGAATTCAGTAAGAAACAGAGCGTACAGTCGCCATTCCTAGAAATGCTTTCTTATCTACTTCTCTCTCTTCAGCTTCCTCCCTGGGCTGGGAGTTTTCTGAGGGTGTGAAAACCAGAGCTGGGCTGTGGGAGGGGCCCGGAAGGTGTAAACACCTGCCTAGGCCACTGTCAATAAAAATAGCAAATTAGGTACTAAGTAAACACAGGGAAAAAGAACAACCCTGCAGGCTGAGCTTGACTATATGTTGTTGTTGTTATGTACCGTCGAGTGGTTTGTGACTCATAGCGACCCTATGTACAACAGCCCTAACCCCTGCTCTATCCTGTGCCAATCTCATTGCCTCTGACACACCCATCCCGATTACCCCAGTCACTGAATCAATCCACCTCATAGAGGGTCTTCCCCTCCTGCACGATAATAATAGCTAAAAATCGCAGGGAAGAAATGGAGATTCACTGGAGCAAGATGATATATTTTAACTGAATTAAATCAGTATTGAACAATTTCCCATGATTAGAAAGTTGGTAAACATATTGCATTTTATAACACTTGGAATTTAATGTTCCTTTTTGTTGTTAAAATGATTC